ATGGTGATTAATTTTTAATTAATCACCAATTAACGTTTAATCAAAATAATTAAGCATAACTCTTAACTGATAAAATTATTCCGGACGTGAACGGCACGTCTAAAATAATTTTCGGGAATTCTGACTGAAATAACTGAAAATAATAAATTCGAAAAATAATATCGGAACTGAAATATATTATTATACTGATAAAAAGTCGGGATATTACACCAAGGACTTCCCCCTGAAAGGAGACATGATCATCGCATCACCCTAAAATCGCCAGTAAATGTAAAGCCCTACCGATATAGCCATCATCAAAAGGATGAAATTGAACGCCTGGTGAATGAAATGCTATTCGATGGGATAATCCAACCAAGCTCCAGCCCGTTTTCTAGCCCAGTTCTACTTGTCAAAAAGAAAGACGGAAGTTGGCGATTTTGCGTCGACTATCGCAAACTAAACAAGGCTACTGTTCCTGATAAGTACCCAATTCCCATGATTAATGATATGCTTGATGAACTCCATGGAGCTGCTTTTTTCTCCAAGTTAGACCTCAAAGCAGGGTATCACCAAATTCGGGTCCATCCCTCAGACATAGCCAAGACAGCATTTCAAACACATTCCGGCCACTATGAATTCTTGGTCATGCCATTTGGATTGACAAATGCCCCAGCCACGTTTCAAGGTCTCATGAACGATGTATTCTGTCCGTATTTGAGGAAATTTGTGCTTGTTTTCTTTGACGATATCCTTGTTTACAGTAAAACATGGGAGGCGCATATACAACACCTTCAGATTGTCTTCAGTGTTTTACTCGATAATCAACTCAAGGCTAATAAAAAGAAGTGCCATTTTGGGAGGACATCAGTGGAGTATTCGGGACATGTTGTCTCAAGATCTGGCATGTGCATGGATCCAAGTAAAATATCCAGTGTTATTAGGTGGCCACAACTTAAGTCAGTTAAAGGCGTACGAGGATTTCTAGGCCTCACGGGATATTATAGGCGGTTTATTAAAAATTACGGCCAAATCACAAGACCTCTCACAGAATTACTTAAAAAATAGGTTGGGGACTTCACATGGACAGAGCCAGCACAGGACGCTTTCGAAAGATTGAAAATCGCCATCACCTCTTCTCCAGTGCTGGTAATGCCTGACTTCAATAAAAGTTTTGTGATCGAATGTGATGCTTCAGGCGAAGGCGTGGGCGCAGTCTTGATGCAAGAGCAGCGGCCGATAGCATATTATAGTAAAGCACTCTCGGGAAGAGTGTTGGCCAAATAGACATACGAAAAAGATTTAATGGCATTGGTTTTGGCAATTCAGCATTGGCGGCCTTATTTACTCGGTAGAAGATTTGAAATTCGCACCGACCATCGGAGCCTAAAGTACATTTTGCAACAACGTATCACAACTCCTTCTCAGCAAAATTGGTTGGCAAAACTCATGGAT